TAAAATATGACAGCATTATTAAAGCAAAATGTGAAAATGGTGCTGATCATTGAAGGAAAAAAATTATAGACCCATTCTGGAAGAACCATCACTAGCATTATTTTCTTTTGCCTTTTAGCTCATCATTTTCAGATTCTACATTTTAAGTCACATTGTGATCATATTATGGTTAGAATTTTGTGTACCATGCAGATTCTTACTGGCTTAGAAATTGCCCTGCAAAACCAATTTAATGAGATAGAAAAAAATGAACCACTTCTCTATTTCTATATATTTATTTAGATGGTTGTCAATCTTTTTCTTTTATAATGTGTCAGTGGAATTTTTTTTTGAAAACTTTATCTGAATTTGGCATTAAGGAAACAACTCTCCAGTGGCCCCCAAGCTACCCCTTACCATGCGGCCATGACCCTCTTTATTTCCTCAGCCCACCACTGATGTAATTTATGGCTCTGGCTTCTTATTTGTGTGAAGTGGATCCCTTAGGGGGTGACCTCCCAATGTCTTCAATTATTATTTTAAATGACGCCTTAGGCTACTGCCTGGCACAGCAGTGCCCTCACCTTCCCGCCTTCTGCCTTCCATGCATGGGGCTCAGCTGCCAAGCTGGCCATGCCCCCTCCTGTCCTCAGAGCTGCCTCCAGAGTCTCAGCAGAGAGCCAGATTAACCCCTTTTGTTAGCAGATGTAATTTGCCTGGGCTCAGCATTAATAAGGAACGCTGTAAGCAGTTGGGGTCAGGAAGAACAGATCTGTCAAACCCCAGGGTTAATTTAATAGCAATCTGTTGGCTGTCTGAGTTGTATATTAACCATGAATCCAATGCTATGTTTTGCTTTTGCCTTTTAGTTCTTTGGGACAACAGCAAAATAATTTGGATAGAGAGCTCTAAAGGATAAGAAAGAGAAAATTGACTGTCAAAATGCATCATTCCATTTTCAAGATAATACAGGAGGGGGCAGGAATTGCTCATCTTCTTTCTCCTTCCCTCCTAACTGAAGGGCAACACAGCATACGTGAAAACATACATCTTCCTTTAGAAAGTGTAAGGGGAAAGGTGTGGGTTTCCAGAGGGTGCGGTTGTGAAATATCCTCTCATTATTCCTATAAGCCCTTGAATTTTTGGCAATTGTTCTCTCAAATGTTTCTAAAACTTAGCAAACCCTCCATCTGATAACAATCTAAGAAATCCCTTGTCAGGTTTCTGTCTTAACTTCTGGCTCAGAGGAATCCAGCAAACCATAGGACATAAAAATTCTGGTTCTGGAAAATATGACAGCAATGTAGTAGATGGATTCAGGCAGCACAGGCCCCATACGGACAGGATGGAGCTTCCCCCTTGCTAAAGGCAGGGGTCATTTCCAGAGAGCCAGAATCACCACACTCAGAAAGGCTGGCTTTGTGAGGCCATTCCTCAGCGGAATCGGAATGGCATTTTGATAAAGAACCCGGGCTCTGGGTTCAAATTCCAGCTCTGCCCCCTGAGAGTCATATGCCCTTGGTCACCGTTTCCTCAGATATAGAATGAGCTATTTATAGCATTGGTTTCCTAAGGCTGAGATGAGGGACAATGGGACCAATGTGAGTTCTTCGCACATGGCAGGCTTGGCACTTGATGGGCATTAGCTGCTGGTTACTGTCATCCTCCTTCTTACCTTTACCATCACATTATTAGTAAGAGGGATAGAGTATGGTTTACCTCCTGATCCGCCTTGGAGTCAAACCCAGACAAGCACTCTAGTCTAGGGGAGACTCAGATCTGCAGAGGAGAAGAGTGACCACAGAGCCCAGGGCCTGGGTCAGGTCACTGGAGAGGACATCACTTTTAGACAGGCTTACAGATGGAAGGACAGACAGACCCAGAGCTGTAGCCCTCCACCAATTCAGTGAGTCATTGAAAGATGGGGTGTTCCTAGTTTCATGGAAATGTTTAGGCACTTCGTTTCCACATCTTCTGACTTTAGGGCTTTATTTTTAGGTGGGAAAAAATAACTGCAGCACCTCCCCCTCCCACACAGCAAAGATCCTTCCAGTTAATCTTGTTTTTGGAGCTATACTGGTAGAGGTGGAGAAAGCTGACACCAGATTTTCTTTCCCTATTTTGGGAGAAGAGAATCCTTCTCACTGGCAC